CCCCAAAACCCCAAAACCCCAAAACCCCAAAACCCCAAAACCCCAAAACCCCTTGGTTCCAAAATATGGTTGAACTATTTATAAATAATTAATAAATTTCAAACATGAAGCTTATTGTTAAAAGTCTCAAAGGAACACAATTCGAAGTAGAAGCAGAATCTACTAGCACTGTTGGACAGCTAAAGCAGAAGATTGAAGAAGAGCAGAAGTTGGACGCCAAGACCCAAAAATTAGTAGCAGTTGGAAAGGTAATGGCTGACGATAAAACTTTGGATGAGTACAAGCTGAAAGATGGAGATTTCATTGTAGTGATGATTTCTAAGCCTAAGGTGAAGAAGGAAAAGAAGCCTGCCACTGCTCCTGCTCCTGCTCCAGCACCAACTCCATCTCCAGCTCCACAGCCTGTGGCTGCTCCTAGTCCATCTCCAAGTCCAGCACCAGGACCAGCGACTTCTTCACCATCTCCAGCAACTGGAGGCGATGGAGCAGGAGGTAATGGAATGATGAGCGCAGAAGAATTGGAAAGCACTCTCACAGAACTACAATCAATGGGATTTGATAGAGATAAATGCATGCAAGCCCTCAGAGCAGCATTTTACAATCCTGATAGAGCAGTTGATTACCTATTGAATGGAATTCCAGCAGAACCTCCAGCTCCAGCCAATCCAGCTGGAGCTAATCTAGGAATGGGAGCCATGGGAAGCGCTGAAGGAGGTGCCGGTGCTGGAGTAGGTGCCGGTGCTGGAGCAGGTGCTGGAGCAGGTGCTGGTGCTGGAGCAGGTGCCGGTGCAGGAGATTTGTCATTTTTAACCAATAATCCAATGTTCGGCCAAATCAGAGATAGAATTGCACAAGACCCTCAATTTTTCCAGACCTTTATGAGCCAACTAGCTCAAACACAACCGCAAATCCATCAAGCAATTTCTCAGAATCCACAGGCATTCATTTCCCTATTGCTTGGAGGAGGAGCTGGCGGAGCCGGAGGTGCCGAGGGAGGCCAAGACCCTCCAGGTACAATCAGAGTTACTCAAGAAGAAAAAGATGCTATTGATAGACTCGCTTCATTAGGTTTCCCAAAGCATAGAGCTATTGAAGCATACCTCGCTTGAGACAAAAATGAAGAGTGGGCTGCAAACTACTTATTTGAAAATGTAAATGCTGACGATCAGTATGACGAGCAATTAGTTCAAGATGAATCAGCAGCAGAAGCTGAGGGAAATAATCCAGGTGATGTACCTCCATCAAATCCGCCAGCAGATGCTGCAATGGGTGGATCAGATGCTGCTCAGGATAATGCAGAGCAAAATATGGAAGTTGACCAGCCAGCTGAGAACCCTCCAGCTGATAACCCACCAGCTGATAACCCACCAGCTGAGAATGCACCAGCTGAGAACCCTCCAGCCGAGAATCCCCCAGCCGATAACCCCCCTGCTGATAATGCCAATAACAATGCCAACAATGGAGATGCGAATGCAAATAATGGTGGAAATGATGAAGATGAATCATGCTTATAATTATCCCAGCTGATTCCTTCCTTTGTTCCTAAAGTATGTTATTATTAAGCCTATACTTCATGGGGTTTTGGGGTTTTGGGGTTTTGGGGTTTTGGGG